GATTTTAGTACCGGACTGCCTTTTTCGAGAACCAAATTAGCTCCTACTCCGGAGCAGGGTCTAACCAGCACAACTGGTACTAATCGTGACATAAGTAGACATTGATTGGCCAAACGCGTATGAAAACGCCCTCACCCGCCATGATTTAAAACGCTGTGTAAACATACTGTAAACATTGTGTCAACTTATTTCACAAGTATGGAGAACAGAGATAGATGGACGGACGCTGAAGTGCAGGCACTTGTACCAAATGTAGCACTGCCAGTTTGTCGTTGGAGATTCTTAGTCCTCCTTTCCTTTCTTTCAATCGCTTTATGTATACGTCGACTTTCCATGTCCATTATTGTGAAACCCGCGAGACACAACAAAAACACAGCTCCGATCACAGCGTCCTCCATCCTCCTGTTGTTATTATTGTTCTTCTTTGTTTCTGTTGTTGAACGCCGCGCACAAATGACGTCGCTGTCGACCGGCTTACGTCACTTCCTAGTACACGCTGTCGGTGCGAATGCAACCCTTTAAATAGCACTGGGAAATAGTTTAATAACTTTAGTACTGTCCATTTAGTTCTGGAACTAAAGCGGTGCGAACGGCCCTTATGCAGTGCACACAAAATAATTCTGTGAAAATCTTCTTTAATAAAACGTTATAAATAATCAAAAGCTTAGTTATTAAAAATAATGAATGCACCATTTTTTTTAGCATTTCAATGAGTTCAAAAATTTATAAATGTATATGTATAAATTACGTGTACAATGTAAAAACGTATTAAAAAGCGGAACGGCCGTATCTCTTTGTGACCACAACAAACTGGAGACTTTCCATACGAGATTTGAAAAGGGAGAAAAAAAAAGTTTGGCAAAAGGCGGGATCGAACCCGGGTCGATCGCATCAAAAAGTCAACGACAAGCATTTATCCTTCTACGCCACTGGCGCTGATGTTTTACAGACACTTTTAACTAAATGTAAATAAACACTCCAAATTTTTTATTCCATAGTAAGGGCAATTCATACAATACATTTAAACTGAGCTACTTTAATACCATCTTCGAACTTTCTACCACGACTCTGCTGTTCTTCGGCTGGTTCTTCTCTGTATACGTTGATTGACAGATGTCTCGTCCAGTCAGCGGTGAGTAATCCCAAACCAATGGCGCTGTCTCAAACTATACCTACCTCTTCCGGTTTGTCTGATTTGTCGTTGTGTTTTCTGACTTGTCATAATGTTTTCTGAATTGTTGTTGTGCTTTCTGAATTGTTATTTTGTTTTTTAGACTTGTATTTGCATTTGTAATTTGTTATTTTGTTTTCAGAATTGTGATTTGTTTTGCACTTCACAGTCACCGTACTTTTTACATTTCTCACACCACAAGTTATCCATCCTGATAGATATTGTTTAGCTGCATTGACAATTAATTCAAGCTTGGCCATTCATCTTCTACATGTTTTATGTTGCAGGAGTTCTTGGAGAAGACTGGAATGTGAATTATGAAACCGATTCAATATGTGCTCTTAAAGGATCCACAGTAAACATGTCATGCACATACGGATACCCTGAGCAATATAACTTGATAGATACATTTTGGATAAAGAAGCCAGATGTAGCGATCAAAAGTTTAAAAGTTTAAAAGCAGTATAAAGACAGGGTTGAATACATTGAAGACAGAAAAAGCAAAACTGCCATCCTCAGACTGCACAACATCACAACATCACATGAGAGAGCGTATTGTTTCAGATTAGTAACTGAAACTGAAACAAAAAAATGGATTGGTAAAGAAGGAATTCATCTTAATGTTTCTGGTAATCCATTTCTATCCTTTATTTCTATTATTTATTTAACAAAAGTTAGTAGTTTTAGAACATGCTTAGAAAGATCTTACCTTTACGTTTGCCTAAAACTGTACAAAATATCAGACATTAGACGTGTTTTCTCCAGTTCTTCAGGTAAAGGCACCACAGCTGGTGCTGGAGAAACAAACAGTCGGTCTGATCTGTGAAACCACATGCAGTCTGACAGATGCATTCATCTGGTACAAAAATGGACAGACTTTAAAGATCCACAGCAAAACACTCCAGCTTCAGTCAGAGCGCAGTGATTCTGGCCGTTACAGCTGCGCCGTCAGAGGACATGAACATCTGCCCTCTCCTGCTGTCAGCATCACTGTC